GAGGGGAGGGGGCGGGGGGGCGGGGCGGGGGTTGCCGTGGCGATGGAAGACTCCGATAACCCCCCGCGCGCGCGGCACTGGTGGTGAAAGCCTCGCGCTACGTACTGGCTAATGATTGGCACGCTTGACAGTGATTGGCAGCGCCGCCATGGCAACGGCGCGGCGACACCAAGAAGACCAATAGAAAAGGGAAACAAAATGTTTCAATGCTACACTCAACGGCGGATTTAGGGGGGAGATATTATGTGGCCGGTGTCATTAGGCGATAGCCATTGAATCATTCGATCTGCTTTTTTTTTTTTTTTTTTTTTCTCCTTTCCCCCTTCCTTCTTCTGGGGGGTCAGGCGCGCAACTCGGCCGCGCTGGCTGCTGGCGTCGGGCTGGTCGGCCCCCGTTTTTTTTTTCTCCGTAGTTTGGCTTTCTCTCTCAGGTCTTTTCCATGGTTTTCCGATCGCCTTTAGAGCTTTATCCCTCCCATTTCTTCCTGCCCAACTTCGCCGATCGCCCGCTGCTCCTGGCGAACAGCGCGCCCGCCGCCCGCTCCCCGGAAGACTTGTCCATGTTCCAGCTACCCACGCTCAACTTCTCCCCGGAGCAGGTGGCGAGCGTCTGCGAGACGCTGGAGGAGACCGGCGACATCGAGCGGCTGGGCCGCTTCCTGTGGTCGCTGCCCGTGGCGCCGGGCGCCTGCGAGGCCATCAACAAGCACGAGTCCATCCTGCGCGCCCGCGCCGTGGTGGCCTTCCACACGGGCAACTTCCGCGACCTCTACCACATCCTGGAGAACCACAAGTTCACCAAGGACTCGCACGGCAAGCTGCAGGCCATGTGGCTGGAGGCGCACTACCAGGAGGCCGAGAAGCTGCGCGGGCGCCCGCTGGGTCCCGTGGACAAGTACCGCGTGCGCAAGAAGTTCCCGCTGCCTCGGACCATCTGGGACGGCGAGCAGAAGACGCACTGTTTCAAGGAGCGGACGCGGAGCCTGCTGCGGGAGTGGTACCTGCAGGACCCCTACCCCAACCCCAGCAAGAAAAGGGAACTGGCGCAAGCCACCGGACTCACCCCCACACAGGTCGGCAACTGGTTCAAGAACCGGAGGCAACGAGACAGAGCCGCGGCGGCCAAAAACAGGTCGGTCGGTCGGTCGCTCGCTCGCTCGCACGCACGCATGCACGCCGTTCCGCTTGCCGCTGCGCGCCCACGTTCCCCGACCGAACCGGAGCAGCCAGCCGGCCGGCCGATGCGGGCTGCCCGGCAAGGGAGCGCCGTGGGGCGGCCGCGGATTTGTTGACGTCTCTCCGAATGTCCCCCATGCAAGTGTCCCAACACTCACGTTGGGCGGATATTATTATTGTTTTATTTAAAAAAAATAAGAATACACGAGAAACGAGGAGATACACGCAGAATTTCAAACCGGAATGTCTGATCAAATCAAATGACCGCCAATGTGACGAATCGATCGCTCGATCGTGCTGACACGGTTTGACGAAACGAGGTAATTCGTTTGATCCTCGCGGTGAAAATGGGAGTCTTGTCCTTTTTTTTGCACCGTATCACCGAAATCGCAACCCTCTTAAATGCTGTTCGTGCTGGTCGAAAGGTAATACCGCATAGCTGAAATATTTCGAGAGAGAGGTAACAATGGAGGTCGAAAATAGTTTCGTGTGGAAGAGGAATGGGGGTTTGCTTTTTTTTTTTTTTTAAATCGAGCTGAAAATGTGGCGCAATTCGTCCATTCGAGAGCACTTTGCATATCAAAAAGTGGTGGACGTACAAAATCTGACACCGAAAAACAAAGAGGGTGAAAATCATCAACTGCTCGTGGTGTGATTTGCGAAGGCTTTTGACGTCACTGTGCATCGTGATCGAGGAAGATTACCCCGCGCAGGGGATCACGGAAAAAAAAATATCCTTTTTCGTATTTCAGAGCATTTGCAGACTAGGCTGTATTCATAACGTCAAGTGTGCTATCACCGCGCTCGTAATGGATTAAAAACCGCCAGCGCCGCCGCCGCCTCACCGACCCACCACCAAGATGAGCTGCAGGCGGTCTTCCTGCCGCAGCCCGCGACGCACATTTCTGATCCGGCACGCCGCAGTTATTATCAGGAGTGCGTTGGCGAGCGACGTTTTAGGATGATTGCCGCCGCGAGCGGCCGCACGTCACTCGCAGCAAACCGGAGAAAGTGCAATCTGCACTAGTTGCGCTTGAATGGGGCCTGCTTCAGGGAAAAGAAAAAAAAAAAAGCTTTGCACCCTTATTTCGCAAAAGGGGAGCTCGACGACGAGGGCCGCGGATGGTGAAAGAGCCTTCTTTTTTTAGGGGTGGGGGGAAGAGGAAAAAGAAAAAGAAAGTGAAAAGAAAAAAGAAAAAGCTGACTCGCCGTTTGTTGCCCGGCCTCAACTCTGTCCCGGCGTCTCTCTTCGGCTCAGGCTGCAGCATCAAGCCATGGGAGCGGGCGCCATGAGGTCGCTGTCCGAGGCCGGCCTGACCCCTCACAGCTCGGCCGAGTCGCCGTCGACGGCGGCCAGTCCCACCACCAGCGTGTCGAGCGTGACGGAGCGCGCCGACGCCGGCACGTCCATCCTCTCCGTCACCTCCAGCGACTCCGAGTGCGACGTATGATAGCAAACGGCCACGCCAAAAGAGAATTATCCACAGGACCTGAGAGGAAAACTACAACAACAACAACAACAACAACAGACTCGGATGGAGGAGCCACAAGGACCGATCGCTATAAATATGACGTAAAAAAAAGATACAGCACGTGTTTGTTTGTTGGTTGGTGGGTTTGTTTGTTTTTTAAATGAGAAACGCTTTGAAAAAGACAAAAAAGGAGCCAACGCTTGACGCCCTTCTTCGTCGTCTTCATCACACGCCAACAATACTCAACTTGCATGAACAGTCCCTTGTTTTGATTTTTTTTTTATTTTGAATGATGAAATCGGATTCTTCTGCATCCAGAGGAGCAACGAGCAGAGGGAATTCGAAACGTTTTGGACCCTTTATTTTTGGGATGATGTCACGCAGACCAGATGTTTTTTTTTTGTTTTTGTTTTTGTTTGTTCATCAGACAATCATTTCAAGTCGTAAGCACCTTTTTTTTGTTGTTGTTGTTCCAAAAAAAGAGAAAAATCATTTTTCCTTCGTCACCGTCTGCCTGTGCGGGGCCAAAACAATGTATCAGATTTTTATTTTCAATATATTTTTTGGGATTGGGGGGGGGGGTTAATATGGGAGGATGTCGCTGTATGCGAAGAAGAAAATGACAACGGCATCCTTCTCCCGCGGTGTAATATATAAAGTGTAGAAATATGCTTGTACATAACGATCCCTTCCTCCTCCACTTTTCTCCGCTTGGTCTTTCCGGCCATCCAATATTTGCTCCAAACTGCAAAACACTCACGCGTGCTCGAGTTCGGCCTGTCTGTTCTCTCTCTGTGACATTTGCGCATATCACAACGTGGACCTTCCTCCTCCTCCTCTTCCTCCTCCTGCCCTTCAAATCCTGTTTTTATCTGGGAATATCATAGCATCTTATGTTGTTGTTGTTGTTGTTTGATTTTTTGGGTTTGCTTTGAAATCATCAAATATAATATTTAATTGAAAGGTGAGTGTCTCGAGCCAAGTTCATCTCGGGCCGTGATTGGATTGCGGGGGGCTTTAGCGCTCATCTCTGCGGGTTTATGATCGTTTGCAGCGCGCACCTTGCAAAAGTCACCTCCGGCTTTTCCTCGCCGTGCTTAAATCGGGGGGGGCGAAACCAAAACAGAAAGAAAGACAAACATCGTTAAAATAGGTACACCGCGCCTTCCGTGTAAACGGCACACATTCTGACAAAATAAAACAAAGCGACAACCAAAAAAAAAAACCCAAAACAAAACAATACAAAACGACGAGCACACCTTTTGTTTACCGTTGCCGCTGAATGCCGAAATTAAGTAAACGCGCCATTAAATGGCCTAATCGCGATGGGACTCCTCCCCTGCTCCAATCTGCTATTGTGGCCCCCTCAAAAGAGCTTTTCTTCCCGGAACGACAAGCACCCCTCTTACCCCCCCCCCTCATCTGCCCTGGCTTTAAAAAAAAGAGGGGGATTTCTCCCCAGCAAGTCTCTTTTTTTTTTTTCCTTCTGCTAAACCTGCAAGCAATGAGCGCGTTTGTTCCAGGACGCTTGCGGGAGTCCTTTTTGATCACTTGCAAATGTGGATCGAAGAGCATCCTGTCAGGATTTAGCAGCTCTTGTTTGGGACAAAAAAAAAACAAAAACTTGCACGCACACTGCAAAAAACGTGGACGTCTGAGGTCTGAGGGCGCGGGGTGTGGGGGGGGGACGCTGGAGAATTGTGGGGAAGAAAATGTTGAAGGCTTATTTCAACGGGGAAAGAAAGACATTCTTGAAAAAAATCCCATTTGAACAAAAAAATAAAAATTTCCAGATAGCGTTTTTTTTTAATTATCATGTATTGATAATTCATTCGAAGTATATTTTTCGTGCATGTGTACCCCCCCCCCCCCAGCCAAAAAGTAGACCTTGCACATTCATATAAAACACGAACATGTGTATTGTTTTAAAGCATGACTATGACAAATATTTCAGAATAAAAGATGAAGTGATGCGCCAGAGGCAGCTTTTTGCTACACACTCAACTTGTTTTTATTTGATTTTTTTTTTAAACGCGTGCCGGTGACGACATTTGGACCCAAAAGTGAATCTTCAATTCAGCAAAGTGTTTTCGAGACGGAAACGAGACTTTCTGATGATGTCACACAATTGCCCTTTTCACGTCTGCATAACCAAGAAGTCTAGTGCCATTTCATGCCAAATAAAAAAAGTATACACTCAGAAAAAAAAAGAGGAAATCTCTTCTGCAGTGTCGGCCGACTTAGAAGCATGCGCGTTACAGCGACTTGACACTCGGAAAGTGAGTCCAACTTTTGGGAAAACTTTGAGCAGCGTGACTCGACCGTGTCGATAGCGTGGTGTGCGGATTTGGCGCAAGCGTTTGAAAAAACTTCACAAGACGTCGATGCGTATTTCGAGAAATATGGATCAAGTCCATTTGGGCCTTCGGAGCTTTGGGCGCGTCGGTGTAAAACATATGTGGGCGTGTCTCTGCACGGGGTCACGCACAGTGTGTGTGTGTGTGTGTGTGTGTGTGGGGGGGGGGCCGGCTCGTGTTCGTGATGTGTCAAGTCAAATATGGATCAGCACACAAAAGAACTTAGCGAGGAGTAATCTGTGTGTGTGATACTACTGACACGAGAGTCAACGACAAGAATGCGAGACAATCGCACGCGGCCCCCGAGCGCACCTTTTCCACTTTGGACTTGAATTCCACGAGGAGCTGCCCACTTCAGCTTGTCACGCACGGCTGCTTTTTAACCGCTTTTTAAACGTGAATCGTAGAAGATGGGGAGCCGGAGGGGGGCGAAGGGGGGGGGGTGTTAGAGCGAGGCATGCATGGCCAAAGTCTGGCGGGGAAAAATATTTGCCCTGCCCTGTTTTGTTTGGATTTTTTTCCCCGTCCCCTTAACTGCACACACGTTGGCCGATGGGGTTCATTCACGTCGCAGCAAACAAAGGCAAACGGCTGCTCAAGAATGACTCAAGAGGCCGCCCGCAATATCTGTTGTGGTTGTTTTTTTTTTTTTGGGGGGGGGGACTGTGCGATTGCGAGGGACAAAAGGCACACCTGAACACCAATCAACCAATGAAATCTGAAGTGCAGAATTTGCACCGCAGGCCTGCCTCATATGGCAACTGGCTCCAATTTTTGGGCTGCCTTCTATCAAATGCCAAAGAGCTCCAAAAAGGACACTTTTTATTTGGTGGTCCCTTGAAAGGCATCAAGAATGACACGACAAAGAAAATTACACAATCCAGTATGATTTATAGAATAACGTTATGATTGTTATTCTATTTTTGTTGTTGTCATATGTTACTAAATAAAATCAGGTGCGTTATTATTCACCATTCACTATTTTTAAAGACAATATATTTATAGACACACACACACATATGCACTGCATATATATATATATATATATATATATATATGCTATATATGCTCAAAAAATAAAGAGAACACATAAAGGGCACACTTGAAGTTATATTGTGCTGTTTAAGTGTTCATTTTATTTTTTGAGCAGTAAATATATATTATATATATATATAAATACAGTACACATATGCACATTTTTATATATATACCGACCTTGTCATCGCCGTGTCTACTGTGTAAATTACACGAGCCGTGCACCTGCTGCTTGTTGTCCACCAAGAGCACACAACACAGCAACACGTGCACACCTCCAATATCACACACACACACACACACACACACACACACACACACACACACACACACACACACACGCACACACACACACTGTTTGAAGATGTTCTCCTGTTAATTTGTTGCTCAGACATCATCACAGAGTAAGTGTGCGTGTGCGTGTGAGCGCACACTGGCCGTCGCGCGCACACACACAAGGCTCATCTCTTTAAAACAAGCGGAACAAGAAAGCATCCGAGCAGCAGCAGGCTTACTCGAGCGACTGCGAGCCCTGTCGCGTGCACGCGCCCAGCCTTTTCGTGCACATATGGGGGTGGGGCTGGTGGGGCGTGGGCGCGCCTGAGCGTTTGTGTTGTTGTGCAAGGCCACTGGGTGCAAGCTGTGTGATCTCTCGCCCTGTGCACACCAACTGGACAGAGGGCTGAGCAGCTTAAATACAACCCGAGCACCTGGGTTTTCTCCCGACGTTCTCAGGCCTTCTTAGCCTGCACGCGCGCGCGCATGCACGCATACATACATACAACGCAGCCGCGTGTTTAGCATTGGACTGCAAAACATTTGTGTGTGTGTGTGTGTGTGTGTGTGTGTGTGTGTGTTATTCCGGCCTGCCATCTGCTTTGCGGCCCTGTTTGGGTTTGCAGGCACACAATCGCACCTCAGGACACATGCGAATTAGCTTGGCGTCAAACCATATTGCACACTTTTCAGGATTGATGTTGTCGTGAACTCACTCTAGTCATGAAGCCACGCCGTGTCAAACCCAACCTTCAATGTCATTAAATCGACAAACTTTTTCCCCCAAAGTCACCCCAACTTTCTTCGGTCAACTTGGCTTGGCTTCACGAGGAATTGGAAATAGCCATTCGTGGTTCAACGGAAGTACGTGTTTGTTTTGGGGTGCGCACAACCTTCCTGCATTGGCGAAGTCTCCAGACGTCCGAATATGAAGTCACTCCGCAAGAAAGCGGAAACGACGAGCATTTGTGTCAGCTTATATTATGAATTGTCATTTTATGTTTGAGCATCATATTATTTCATGTTAAGCATACCTAAATTATATTCTGTTGTTTAATAATTGCTTAGACGTGTTTTTATGTTGATAGGTTCTGATTGGCTGTTGAAGAAAGAGAAGCAGGAAGTGAATTTACTCACGAGAGTTGTGTTCTCGAACGTGCTGCGGTGCGGACGTCTTTTTTTCCCTTTCAATAAAACTGCATTTAAAGGATTCCATCTCTCCTTTTGCCGTTCGTAAAGTTGAGCCATCCACTAAAAACAACGAACCCCTCAACTTACATTTGCATCAATGGCCAACAGATCCACTTCTGCTTTTCCGCACCACTAAATGACAAACAGTCGGCCTTCCGAGCGCACCATCTCCAGACGGAAGCCAACATATTGAGACCATGTCCTTTTTCGACGAACGGCGACATATTTCTGCCGGCCAGGCGGGGACCCCAAACGATGCTCGCGAACGGGTTGATTGTGAGGCTAATCTGTACAGTGCACATTGCACGTTCTTCCGGCTCATCAATCGCAGAGATTTCGTTCGTTTCAAGGCAGGCCCAAAGCTCCCCCTGGTGTGACGCAGCCTTTTTTTGTGTACGAAGCTCAAACCAAAGGTCAGGCTCGCTTTGCCCTTATCAACTCAGCCCCCATTTAAAGCTATATGGGATGGATTATAGGAGAGCGCCTAGTCCCAGTTTATACACACACACACACACACACACACACACACACACACACACACACACGCGTACACGTAGACGCGCACGCACACCGCTAGAGTGCACAAGGGCCTTGGTCAGCCGAGGAGCGCCAAACGTGTTCCTTGACTGCCATCTAGCGGAGTCATCTGGAACGCTTTTCCATTTGTGGCTGATTTTGATTTTGTACCCGCTTAAGATTTGATTCGGGACACCTGCACGGTTTTATGAGACTCACGCCAAAAGATTCAGACTTTAAAATGTCACCAACTGTAAATCTCAACGTGCAAGCAATTTTTTTTTTTGTAACGTCACTTAATCTGACGTGGTAGAGTTGGACACGACCGCGAACAACACCACCGTCCCAACGAACATGCGTCTCTCACATGGAACTTGAAGCGCAGGGCAGTTCCAAAATTGATAAATTGGGAGAAAATTATGTTCGATATATTTGATGAATTCGGTTGCCTGAAATATGCAAAACGAAACGGAAAATGTGAGCAAAAACATAGAAATACATTTGATCGATCTGTTTTTTTAAAGTATGACTTTTTAGATGGTCTTGAAAGGGATAGTCAAGTCATGAATTTGGCGATAAATTCTTACGTTGGTGGAATATGAATGAAGCAGCAAAATGGGCCAGTTTTGATCCCTCCCGGCGGCAGCCATTTTAAACCGGAAATGACATCACAGTTGCTCAGGGCGGGCTCAACTTGCGAATGTCACCTGACCAAACAGGTGAGCCGTGACTGAGCCCGACGAAACAATGAGGCAGTTTTCAGACAGCAACTGGCAAAATGGCCGCCCCCCGGAAATGCACCAAAACACTGCGTCATTCACGTCCCACAAACGTAATCCTCGTTGAGACGAGTGGCACCGCAAAAGAACCTATTCTTGTCGAGGACATGTTTGACTTGACTTCCATTTCAAACACTCTCGAAATTATTGTTGACTGTAAAAAATGATGAAATCATGTCACCATTTAGAATCAGTCAAAATCATTTCAAAAACAAATCAATAAAATGCACACAAACACCTTGACAACTTTAGCGTCGCCGTGTTCACATCAGAAGGGGACGTGACAACTACAGTCACCTTTGCAGCGGGGGACACGAGCGGCGTCTGCGCACCCGCAGTCATCACAGTTTGATGACATAAAGGTCAAACCGTGTTGGAACGCCGAAGCAGCTTCTCCATGTCGTGCAAGATCACAGCTTCCGCTTGTGCAAGTCAAACCGGTCCGCTGCTTCATTTCCCCACACTGACACCCAAAGAATCACCGACCGACTGACTGACTGATTCGTGGGTGCGTGTGTGTTTATGATCCTGAGGGTATAATGGCCTCCGCTGGAGCGCAGCCTTTTCGAGTTTAACCCCACCATTGTGGTGACGGCGAGCAGGCCACACAGAAGGTTTCACTGTAAATGGACAGAAAGCGTCGTCGGCCGCTTCCAGCTGACTCGGCCATGAGACGGGAGGCCACTCGCTTGTCCTAAATGTGCTTTCGGGTTCACAAGCGTGTGCGTGAAACCGCCCTGCGGGATCATTGGAGTCACATGTAGGGGGCGCTCTCATTGGCTGGCAAAGCCTGATGGCGCTGAGAAAGCGTGGAATGTCTTTATTAGGCAACGAGAGCAGACGCTCTGCGCGTGTAGAAATCGTTGTGTCCGACACTCCGTCAAGTGTGGAACGCAAACGCTCCAAGTAATTAAAGCGATCGAGTGGGCTGTACGCAAAGTACTGTAACGTCATTTTGTCAAGTTATAATAGTAAGGCTGCAACTAACGATTATTTTAGTCACCGATAAATCTGTAATGTAAATGCATTAGAGAGGAAATAATAATTTTAATAACCGCCGCTTTACTCCAAAGAAGGTAAATTGGCGCCGTTGTTCAATCCAGCTTCTTTCATCTTTGGCAGCCGGCTCAAGTCAAGCCTCTCCTTTTTCAAAAGCGCTTGGAAAGAGTCATTCATGCCTTCGTCACATCTCGGCTGGAGCACTATGACGCACTTGACTTTGGAGTCGGCCAATCCTCCATCAAGCGTCTCCAGTTGGTCCAGAATGCCGCCGCTCGCCTCTTGACCGCTACTCGGAAGAGGAAGCGCATCACTCCTCCTCTGGCATCCCTTCACTGGCTCATTTTTGAGTTCTTTTGAAGACCGTATGATTCATTTCCAAATCTTGAAATGGCCCAGCCCCAGCTCACCTCTCGGAGCTCCTGCCCGCTGCCTCGGGTCTGCATGGGACCAGACGCTATTCGAGGTACCGAGAACTCGGAGGGGATGGAGCCTTTTCTGTTGACAAACAGCAGCCGAGCAGGAAGTGAACAATTTGTGTGTGTGTATAGTGTATATATATATATATATATATATATATATATATCTCACAACTGACACCTTTCCCAATGTGCCAAAAGACGATAAAATTGTTCCTGATTGAACTCTATGCCATTTACACAGGCGAACTAGTGTGCTCTAAATGGCTTAGCGCCAATCCCGGCCGCAACAACAACGGTCACGCTTTGAATCCGTCGCTTGTAACACGGCTGTCCAACATGCCTGATGGCCTTTAAAAGCCGCACGAGATGTTGTGTGAGCGTTTGAATGGGTGGGGTGGGGGGTGGGGGATTAACACGTCACCTGCTCACATTCATTCATTTAAATGTCAGGCCAAAGCGCATGCACGCACGCACACACAGGAGGACACTATCTTCCCCACGCGCTGCACAGAGCTCTCTGTCATCGGATGATAACCGCATTCTCGTTGGAATTCATGAACACCGGCGTTGCGTTGAATCGCAACAAACAAGACAAAACACCTTGCGAGACATTCAAACAACGATGAAAAGCAAAATAATTGCTCTGTCTGATAGCGGTGATGCATGCGAGCACGTTGTGGCCTCTCCACCCCTTGAGCTGGACATTTGCGGTCACTTCATAAGGTACGCCAAATCTAATATTGAGTGAGATGAAGAATTTGATAATTGTGGCTTTGGAGGGCATGGGCCAAGACTCAAACCCAGAGACTCAGAGCCTCACCACGACAAGCACAACAAGATCTTAACGTCTCAAAATGTGCTCCCCTGATGATCCAATCGGTGTCCCGTGTACCTAATAAAGTGGCCGGCTGCCTGCGTGAGAGCCAGCAGGCGCCTCGGTGACCTTTAGTTGTGCAAATGTAAACATGCCAACAGCCCCAAAATCTCTTCAGATCATTCTCAAGGAAATGCAATGATCAATCGTACCGCCAGAGGGCACTGCGGGTCCAACATTAACTTTCAAAGCGACCTGAATACATTTCGAAAAAAACGTTTTGAACAAGAAAAGCAGCCCGCCGTGAGGCCTTACCTGAATGCACTTCACCTCCTGATGGACTCTTCTATTTGTGCGAGTGTGTAAGCGTGGTGGCAAGTTGCAACATGTGCTGGTCTGAGCCGAGGACGGAACCGGCCCTGGACGCGTGCTGTTGGACAGCCGAAGATTTCCACGAGCACTTGTTTATTCTGAACCAAATAACTGTCACTTATCTTGACCACGCGCTACTTTGGAGCACGGCTGTCGGCTACGCCCAACCGAGTCCATGACAACAACAAACAAAAAAAAGTGGATTCCGGAAGTTGAAGGAAAAGGTGACCAAGTGACAAAATGAATTAAAGAGACGCCGCCATGTGGCGTGAGGCCGTACTAGAATGATGGACTGTTCCAAAGTGAAGTCTGCAACGTCTCACATTCACATTCCCCCCGCCCCACTATTTGTTGGTCTTGTTTTGCAGTGCAGTGACACCCAGTGTCAAACCGTCAGCACTCGTCCTCCATTTGGGCCTTGCGGCGGTCTCCGATGCAATGAGGTGGCATCCAATTTTGGGTGGTCGTTCACGACAGTCAATCACAACCACGACATCATTTGCGACTTCTGTCATCGAACGGAAGAACATTTGGTTGTCAACGGTAGAGCTGAGACGCGTCCTCGATTAATTCCAGTACCTCGGGCAAAAAATATGCTCGAGACATTTGTTTCTGCCTCGAGTACCTGTTGATATCTTTATTTATTTAAGGTACGATGTCACCAAAAAGTCAAACCGACTGCAGCGACAAGTGTTGACGCTCTGCAGGACGACGCCAACACCGCCAACGCGGTGAGAAGGCCAACTTCAAAATAAACCTTACTTCCCAAATCACATCTGGACATCAATGCCTTGCGTCACTTTTATTTTGAAGTTTTTGCCAGCGGCGTTGCCGCGTATGCCCTGACGGGCGTCTTCTGTCTTGACACCTATTCCCAACTGTAATAGGGGTCACACATTGTCGCCACCGACATCAACAACGTCACAACATTGTCCTGAAATCAAGTTCAACTGCGATTTAAAGAACCCCCCAAAAGTCTAATTACGCTGATATTGTCTTTTACGGGGCCTGTTGGCAGCGCTAGCGGCTAACAGATAGCTGCTAAGCATGTGAGAGTCGGCGGATTGCTTTCCAAAGGCAGTTTTAATCAACAAAATGACGACACACTTTTGATGCAGACAGCCTGACACAGTTGCCGTCGATCACTTTTGAACAAGTCAGGCTGACTCAAACGTGCGAAATCGCTACAGTACTGTGGTTCTGACGTGTACTTCGTCTCACAGACCAAAATGGGAGAGCATTCTAAAACTTCCCGAATGCTTCTCGAGAGGACAGTAGTGTGCAGTTAAACATCGTTTAAATTCAAGTAAAAAAAACATTGATATTCAAAAAAATGAAATTGACAGTTCATTATTCAATGAAAATTAGTTTTTTTGCTCTATCTCTCTCTATCTATCTTTTGATATAATTTTCCATCATTTTATATCTATATCTATCTATATATATATATATATATATATATATAGTCAAACCTCGGTTTTCGTATATATATATAAAGAGAGAGAGAGAGAGTGAAAGAGTGGAAAACCTGATTTCAACCAGACATCAAGAAAAACAACACAGCACGAATAAGTTAACACCTCTCTGGAGGCGTCACATGTGAACACAGCAGCCTTTAATGTGTCCCTTGGACCTAAAATTCGCCCAATCCACTGACAAACACTCCCAAAAGGTGTCGTTTATCGTCACGTCCAACTCATTTCATGGAACGCCATTCGAGAGTGACAATCGCTGGAAAAGTCATCAAGAGCGGATTGAATGTCTTCCAACTTGTGCAGGTCGGCCGTGCATGGCTACCACCTGGGAAACCACCTTGACCTTTCAGTTTTTTGCGTCAACATTCAGCAAACGGCTCCATCTTGCTGCACTTTTTTGACTGTAACACAATACACACACACACACACATATACGCCACAATGTGTGACTGGATTGTGGCTGCTCGAGCTAACGTGTCTGCTGGCACCGTTGTTGGAGCTTTCGCAAAAGCCGCCATCATTTCTGAGGAGCCGCGCGGCAACGAGACGACTGGCGAGGGAACCTGGCGCGTTTGATGGTGAACTTGCGCAGCGGTTCTTGTCAGACACAGAAGATGAGGACTCGGATGAATCCACAAGGATGAGGATTGATCCCAAAAATAACGTACGCATACAAGTTTAAATACTTCAATAAAGTACAACCGGACTCGGTTTTGCTCCCGCTGCCTTTTTCAAAACACACGCAAGCGTGCACGCATGCTATCCTTGGTTTTATTTTATTTTATTTTATTTTTTTAACCTCGCGTATGTTTTAAAGTGCCTGCGTCCAATAATATACAATGTGTGTTGCGTATTTGTTCAATACAGAAATAGCACCCGGAAGTGACACTGCGCCTTTAAATACGATGCACCGTCTGGTCATTAAAATCCGGTAATGTTGAGATGGATTGATATCATTCAGTTTAATTCCCTTTATTTGACACAAAACAGAATTGCAATAACCAGCAGCTCGTTTTGAGCCAATTGTGGTTTTGATTGTACATCGCGTGATGACAACTTGAGAAACTTTTGACTTTTCCCCATGTCCTTTCAAGGGCTCTACAGCTGTACAATCACTTGTATTGGTTTCATGTCTTCATCACTGAACGCATAAAAAAATGCACCCCAATTCAAAACTTGAAATGGTGACTTTTAAAGTTCTTCGAATAACGTTTGCAATGACAGCACGATTCTCCGCCATTCGTCGGCAGTCAGTGTGAAGTGCCTCCGTCGTATTGGTGGCTGCTTGCAGGCTTTACAAACGTTTGACCCCTGACCTCGGTGATGGGGAGCTAAGTGAAGAGTTTCCCCAGTGGGACCAGTAATGTGTCACGCGTCACCCTAGAACGTTCCCTCCTTGCACATTACATGCTGCACCTGACAACGACCAAATGAAGAGAAAAAAAAAAGGATGCTCAGGCTATCTGATTGCCAGTCGTCTGATTTTGAACGCAGGCAGCAAGTTGAAGTTGAAGCTGAAGATGAATGAAACTACTCACCGGTTCCACAAAATCCCATTTGAATGGCAGTCAAACGGTCAACTTGAAAAGAACTCGAGCTGTCTGGCCACGCATTTCCATTTTCCGGATTTCCCGCAAGAGGCATTTCGTCAACATTCGACGTTTCATCGCGACACGTGATTCGAAGCGTCCGACTTGAATCCCTCCCAGCGAGAAGCGTTTGGTGGGCCCAATCGGCGGCTTTTACGGGATTCTTTGCTCGCTCATGAGCCGGGATGAACTTCGCCTTTACCACGGGCTGCCATGGCGACGCTTCTGACGTCATCGTGTTGCTCAACTATTCTTCATATTTGTGCCGCGCGTCACTCCAGAACACATTTAACAATTTCAGTTTATAAAAAAAAAAAAAAAATCAAATGGTGCAAAAAAAAAACAAAAAACAAACCAAAAAAAAACGAAAGCGCTTGTACTTGTCCGAATTAAAAAAAAAAAAAAAAAGCACACTAGATTATCAAGCAGAAGGTTCGGTTTAATTCGTCACAGTTTGCATTGAATTAATTTGAATCGAATGTCTGTGTTATTTTCCGCGCAATGTCACAAAACACGGTGGCAAAGGGTTCTAGTTTGGAATAGGAACCGAGACGACAGAGTGAACCTTTTCACAGCCGTTCGGTGAGGGCGAATGGAAAGCAATTGAAAACTTTTCAACTCCTGTCAAACATTTGCTGCTGTTGTTTCCTGCTCGCTTCTCGCCAGGTAGCAAAAGGATCAAATGAGAGTCCTCGCAGAAAAGAAATACGATTCGTTGGTGCGGTTCTGTTCTGCTTCGCTAAGATGAATCCGACACGGGAGGAAAAAAGTCAACATAAAAAAATGGTGTCGAATGAAAGGAATGGTCCAAGTGAATTCACGTTTCTTGTGTTTTTATTGTAAAGGGTATAAGAAACTATAGGCGACTCCTTTGAGGCTTCATCGTGTCAACTTCACATGCAGTCTTTTTTTTTCTTTTCTCCAAATGATGATCATAGTAATCATAATATCAAGAGATTAGTCAAAGATATTTCATCTCATCGCGGCTCTTTATCGAAGACGCTCGAGGAGGACGCGCGACTCCTCTTTTCCCCGCAGCATAAAAACCAAAACTAAACAAGTTGGGCTCGCTTGGAAAAGCCTGTAAACCAAGAAAAATACACGCGACCCACCGAGAAAAAAAAAACAGTTTGCAATCATTAAGACGTTTTGATTTGGCGAGTTCCATTTTGCTCAAATACTTTGGCGTTTTTCCACCCAATGGACCCGCCTCACCTTTGGTGCCAATTGAAGAGAGAATGTCCTCCTTTTTTTAAGTGCTTTCTTTCACACCCCCACCCCCCACCCAAAAAAAGACAATAAAATCCCACCGGCACACTTGTGCATGTCGTCCTCCTCCAAAGCCTTCTTCTACGATCCCAAGTCCACCAAGTTGGACGACATCGGGTTCAGAATGGTGTCGTGATGCATCGCGTGGTGGTGAGGATGATGATGATGAGGAGGAGGAAGAGGATGGTGATGGTGGTGATGGTGGTGGGGGTGTTGGTGACGGTGGGCCGAGTCAGCGCCGCCGTCCACGGGGACGGCGGCGGGTCCGGGCGGGGGCGGCAGGCCGTGCAAGGGGGCCAGCTGCCCTCCTCCTCCGCCGCCGCCGCCGCC